TTTTGTCATAATTAATGTTTATTTTAACCTGTTTGAGAGATGACTTATATCCTCATGTCACAGTATGTACATATTTTACAATTTAATTATAATGTCAGGAGAAATTAATTAGCATCCTTGCAGCTACCTTATAGATTTCCTTAATAGATTTACTTTGCCCTTCAATGTTGAATTTTAGAAAAAATTCTCACTGTGGGGTAAATGAGGAAGCTATCCTTGTGAAGATATAGCATAAAAGTTTCCTAGAGTAATGTTTTATTATGTCACATTTAAAAAAAAAAATAGAATGAGATATTGCACAGTCTAGAATTTAAAGTTTCTGAATATAGACTATGTAGACATAGGAAAACTATTTAAAATTTATACTACAGGAAGAAGGGGTAATTAACAAGAAGCTCCAGAAATGGACTTTATATTTAATGCTTTGATTAACTTTCATAACCTGTGGTCGACTTAGTGTCCAACACAAGATCATGAAATAACTTCTACAGCAACAAAGTAATTTCTACAATATGATTTTTAAACTTTTACCTATCTTATGGTTAATTCTCTCCCTCTCCCTTTTTTTTTGGTGTGTGGGTCTTCTGGGTCTTTTTTTATTAGTATAAACATGGTGAAGTTGAAATTATTCTTTAAAACTAACGATAATAATAATCACACGCTTCTACAGAGAAATAATTTGCAGTGATAGAATGACCACATTGGTCCCACCTCATCATACTACAGCCATAGTTACATAAAAGAAAGTCAAAGATGAGCCTGAATTTACCACACTGGATTGCAGCTTCCTGCAATTAGAACTTGTAAGTGACATCCTTATGGAAACAGGAACTGGGCTGGCCTGGAAAACAAAGTTTCTCAACTGAAAGGACATCATCTCCTTTCATCTAATGTATAATCCTATCCCTATCAAAGTATTCTTCCGTTTTCACTTATTTGACAATTTATTTCCAGATGTCCATTCTTCAAAACATCATAGCAATTTAGGTCTCACTTATGCCTCTTACTGACTCTGATTTGTTCAGGCAATTATGTCCATTTCTTATCTCCTCTACCAAACTGTCAGTAATGTAAAAGGAAGTACTTTGTCATACTTACTTACCTCTCCCATTATAATCTATATGCCTGACACAGTAAGCAGCATGCAGTGAGTGACTAATAAATGTCTCTTAACTTTATTTGAATAAATGACTGCTCTGCCTAGCTAAAGAGAACAAATAAAAATACACACGAAAGTGTAACAATATTTATGTTTCCCAAGTGGTTTCAAGCCACAACAATCATTTATTTTGCTCATACATCTGCCGTTTGGGAGAGAGCTTTATGAGAACTGTTTGTCTTTCCTCCATGCAGTGTCATCTGGGCAACTTGACTGATGCTGAAAGATCCACTTCCAAAATGGAAACTTGTTTCTGGGTGATGGCCAGAAGCTGAGCCAGGGCTGTTGAGTGGGAGCTTCAGGTCTCCATATAAGCTTCTTCATGGAGTTGTTTGGACTTATTCAATAACTGCTCAGAAAAAAACCTATGTTCAAATTTTGCTGAGTTTTGATTATTTTTAACAGTTCTTTCTATCATCAAATCTCAAAATCAATGTCACATATTTTAACTTTTGATTACAATAGCACACTGATTTTAGATACAAATTTATATTCTGGCTATTTATTGCCACATTACAAATGGGCCCAAAAGTTAGTGGCTTAGAATAATCACACTCATTTATTTTGTATGTGAATCTGCAATTTGGTCAAGGCTCAGTGGAGACAGCTTGCATGTACTCCATATGGGGTGATTTAGGAGTAAAAATTGGAGCCATTATTCCCTGTCCCTGAGTATAAAGGATGTGATCCAGCTGGGGCTGGACTCACAAGGACCACAAGGACTCATCAACTGGGCCCTGAGGTATAAAAACAATAGCTAGG